CCATCTCCATCTTGAGATCTCGAGCGAGCCGGTCCATGCTCAGTCGCCGTTTGCGCTCTCGTCTCATTCCCTCTCCGTATCTGGTTCCGCTTGGGCTTGTAGGTTTTCAAGTATACCATTGCCGTCAGGAAGTATGTCCCTGGATCATTCCGGCAGCCTTCCTCGCTTTGCTGATGCTCCCGGATTTCCCTCTCCTCTTCTCCCCCTCTCGACCCTCATTTTCCTGGGCAGCTCTCTGCTCGCGCCGTTTGCGCCACTGCCACTCCCATAGCACGGGTAAAAACGACCACAAATCAAACTCAGGCCATAGCACGTCCAGAAACACAATCTGCGTCGATTCATGGCATTGCCAGAGCATGAAGTCGCTGAGCCGCGACACTCCTGAGGTGCGGATGAGCAGGTCAATGGGCGGGCACTCGGACGTATATGTATGGGATGTGATGGTAGCCGGAGTGATTAATTCGGGGGAAGGATACTTTTCTTTCTGTCGCGAGGGTTTGTGTGATGTGGTTAGTGGTTGGAGGGGCGGTGAGAGAGATGTGGTGGCGTCGTCTTGGTGTAGTGTTGTTGAGGTTGACACCGACGAGGCGTCGTGGTCGCGGTCAGATTGATCGGGTGAATATGATGACAAGCTCGTTGAGCTCGAAGAGGGCGACTGCATGTCCGTCAGGGGTGGCGACAAATAGGTTGTCGTCGCTGTTGAATTTGATTTTTCTTGTTGAGAAAATTGTTCGGACCATATCGTACTGGCGATCCTCTCCTCCTTAAACGGTCTCCTCCTCCCCTTGCCATTGATGTCTTCTGGTAGAGGCGTTGTCCACTCCTCCACCGTGCTCCGAATTGCACTCGTGATTTCTTCTCTTGAGGTATACGGGAAACATACATTCAAGACACAGTTCCCCTCATTCCTGCTCGTCATTTCGACCGCTTTGTCGACAGCCTCAAGGACATCCGGTTTGATCAGTTCTCGTTGACCCAGTATCCGTATCCTCGCACCATATCGGTCCAAAAGCTCACCGTGTTGGACAAGCTGTTTTAGCTTGATTTTGGCCATGGACATCAAAGCGTCAACCTCGTATTTACTGCGTTTGAAGTTTTCGATGCTGAATGCGTATATCGTTACAGTGTGTACACCAGATTTATAGCACACTTCCAGTATCTATCATCATGGTCTTGTCAGTGCCTGTTTGATGCCCGCGACAAACGAAACCCATGTCAAGGAGAGGAAGGGGAGCCCAAGATATATCATACTTTTGCCAGTGCCTCGAACCCCAAATTATGCCCCTCGACGGTCTCAATCCGGTTGTTCTTTGCATATCGTCTATTCCCATCCATGACAAAGGCAACATGTCTTGGCACAGGGCCCTGGCGGAGGGCACCGATTAAGAGCTCGCGGAGTTGATTGATGGCCCATTCTGCAGGCGGGGAGGAGAGAAGCCACTGGCGAAGATGTGACATATGACGGTATGCCATGGTAGCAGCGGCGGCGGCGGCGGCGGTAGGAGGTATTCAATATGGAGGGAGGGATGAATGTTGGTAGAGGCGGAAGTGGTTTCAGTTCATGGGACACTGCAGGTTTGGGAATCGCTGCGGGCTTCGGTGAAGGTTGGTGGGTGAGGTCGCAGGTTGACAAGGACACAATATGCGATTCTAGGTACGGCAGAGCAGGCAGGCAGTTACGGGATCTTCTAAAAGAGCGGAGGGGTTTCTGTGAATACGAGAACGAGAGTTGTTGAGCCCACGAGCCTCTGTTGACGGTTGAGGCGTACGCAATACGTGGCTTGGAGTGTCAAGAAGTTGGTTGGTAAAGTTGGAGGCAAACTTCGGGTTTAATGTACGGCGGAGTACGCAGTACGGGGATGTAGCGAGCCGTGCGAATGACATAGAATACTCCGCCGTACGAGGTACACAGTGTACAAATTGGAGTTGAAACGAACTTCCCCGACTAATCCAATGCTCTGCCTACTATTATCACCTCGTACTACCCAACCACAACACCAAAAATCTTCCAAGTTGCGCCTGACCTAGATAGCTTAGTAGAAACTCTACTTCCACATTCAAAACGCCGTGAGCAAACATGTAGGATAGCTTTCTTTATCTGGACTAATCATGAATCCCGACCCGACACTCAACCTTCTTCCAAAGACCTGTATCCAGTCCCATGCGGGCAAAGGCGTGCCTGACTTTCCTTGCTCGACAAGTTGAAGGCAAAATAGTCTCTGAACCTTCTGCTAGGGGATTCGGACACAGCTTCTGCATCTTCGTTATTGCTGAGTCGTGCGCGATTGCTCCCGAGAGCAACCCGGCAACACACTCTGGCGAGCGGTAAGGCTAAGCCATGGACGACCACACTGCTCACTACAAGGAACCACACGACCATCCGCATGGCCTCCTGGAGGTATTGTATATCTCCTCGTGCCATACCTTGGTCATCTTGAATCATCTCCCCAAGGAATTCGGTTGCAATCATCAGATAGAAGATAGCCGAGACGCCAATCGGTCCAAAGAATCCGACAAACATGGCCTGGAAAAGGTTTTCGATCTCGGTTACTTTGTGCTTCATGACTAATATGGCAGGCAAACGCCGGAGGCAGAGGATCAGAATTCCCAGAATCAATAACCTCTCAAGGGAGATGAGGTTGTTTGTTGCAAAGGATGCCCATGGTGCGACAGCACCGTACCAAATGAAGATGGAAATGTTGACCAGCATGTCGACAGATGACCAGAAGAGTTCACTGCAAGCGTCCTGCTCAAATCTGGGAGGTAAGTTACCGCTCGAGTTGTCGACATCCACTCCGAACTTACTGGTCATCCCATGCGAATGTACACCCGGCGACAAAGCAGGCAAGGATATCGTCGGTTCCCAGTATCCCGCAGGTTCCCAAAACGAAGAGAGACAAGGCAATAACATATGTCAAGGAGCTTTCTTCCTCAACAAACCCGTGCCTTCTAGCAGAAAAGAACAACTTGCGTGCGCCGTACCCCACCACGACGCCATACACCACACTGAAAATAACAACGTAGCCCCAAGTACCGCTGAGCCAGGACGTGAACATGGGTAGCTGACTCCCTTGACTAACGGAATACTTGATCCAATATAACGAGAAGAAGAGAAACGGATAGCCCAGACCGTCGTTCAACCCAGCTTCAGCTGAGATAAGTTTCTGTAATGGTTTTGGAGTGTTGATCTCTGCAAATCGGCCTTTAATGACAGCATTGGACAGGACTGGATCAGTCGGCGCAACGCAGGCTCCAATCGCAAGGGCGTGGACGAAGCCCAGGCTTGGTAGCATCAACCATATGATGAGGCCTGCGCTAAGCCACATCAATGTCAGAGTTGGGCCCAGCAGGTAAAAAAGAGAACGCCATGCTGTGGAGAGGTAACGTGAAGGGAGCTGGATGCCGGCGAGGACGAGCTGTACTGCAAGGACAAGCCGGGAAAATTCAAGCGTGATTGCATCTATGTTTTTAGCCTCCCCGCAACCATATTCGTCTGGATGTAGGAAGCCCACAAAGTGTGAGAGCACGGTGCCTGCAATCAAAGAAATCACTGCCGCCGTGAGCTTAAGCCACCAGGATAAAGGAGAAGACAACTGAAAACTCACATGCCTCGGAGAGCAGGAACTGTTGCTTCCACGCATCGGACACTAACCCGAAACTCAAGAGGAATCCGCCAAACGCGGCGCACACAACATTGAAACTGGAGAGGACCAAGCCGTCCATGTTGTCATTGGAACCTTGGCCGAAGGGGAAAAGAATCAAAGAATCGAGAAATATTCGCCTTCTGGTGATAAAAACAACAGCCTCTGCGTTCAACAGGGAACCCGTAGTTAAAGAGCATTATAGCATCAGAACCCCCACACTAATCTTATGCAGATGACGAAGGCGCCTGACGGGCCCAGGCGGCTAGATATGATCAGCATCCCCCAACGAGCGTTATCCATGTTGTTGTTTTGGGTATCGGCAACATCATCAGCGTTGTGGCCGGGCATTTGATGTCGAGATAGGCAACGTCTCGGTTGATAGGTAAGCCAACCGAGGCCGAGGCCGAATGCAACCGACAGACTACCAACGACGGGATCTCTAATCATGCAGAATGACGCCTTTCTTGCGATTCGAGGGACGTTACAAAGCCGATCTTGGGAGTCGAGAGGGAATCTGAGACTCCGGCAAGACGGAACGCCAGAACTCGCGCCATGGATCGTTTGGCATGCGCTAGTTACGGATCGATTGGCGGGTCATCTTCTTCGAATATACCAAGTATATATATATTCGTATCGAGTCATGAGACTTCGAACGGCCGGATCTGATTTTTACTCGAGGAGAAGAATGTCCTAGTTCATTTCTGGCTTCGATGCCATGCTCTAGTTTCGTGTGCTACGATGTTTGAAATCCACCCTGGCACTTCGGCAGAAAGGAAACGTACACTTGCACCGTTCCGGTTTTGAAAACACTTTGAGGGATGCTGAGAGGTACATACATCTATACTCCCGCACCTTTCGCTCGCTCCGTCTTCGTTGCAGAACCGACCCCGGCTGTCATCTCCCTTGCACCAGGCACGGAGAACTGGCCGATCTATTGATCCACGAAGACGATTCGCATGCGAACAGAGTCCATTGGCCCGCGCCGGTGTCGCGTACATATGTATGAGACTGAAGACAGCGAGGCGCTCGTGGGAGACGCTGAAGAGAATGGAGACAACGATCCCCCAAAGCAAGCGATTGCGCCAGATCCCCACGCCGCTTTGCCTGTCTACGCGACGATTCACCGGTGAGTGTGGACACATCCCTGTTCGGGCGTGGCGTAGAGCGAACGACGGAGCTTGGTGTTTGTCCTGAGATGACTTTGATATGAGCGTGCACTGACAGGCGACAGAATTCGGAGACTTGTGATTTCCAGCGTGGGTGAGTTGAGGCTATCCGCCATGCCAGATTGTCGGATGGAAAGCTAAAGCTCATGCAGACGACCCATACACATTGGAGCAGTTGAGGGAGCCATCGATGAATGAATCGATTGTGCAGCCATTTGTAGGTAGGGTCTATGACCCAGATGACGTCTCCATTGGTAAGGGTACACCACTCCACAACCCCTTGAGGACTTGAAGCGCATGGCATGGGGGAAAGCTCCTTTTGATTCTGTCTTGTCGGGTTGCTTCCTCTATGAAACGAAATTGACGATGTGTACAAGTATATTGCCTGCTAGTGAATCGCATGCAATTTCTCCGTGAGCAGACATCAGATGGCTTGGAACAATCGGTCAGCACCAGTCGTGCCCATCTCTGTGAGCTTGTAGCCACCCAGCTCCTCTGGCGATTTGATCACGATCACGATGGCCCCGAAGGACTTCTGCTATTAGCCAACATTCTCGTTGCGGGATTTGAGCCGTTCCAGAACGCGCCAGAGGATGTTTTACGAGAAAAGCCGCTACCTGCTCATTGGCCTGTGCAAAATCGAGGAGGCTACGAACGAAAACTTACGGCGTTGGAAATTGCCATAGTCTCCACGAGCAAGATATTCCTTAGCTCTCCGGCGTCTCAAAAGGTGGTGGACGCTGTATATCGAGGACAGATTGTTTACACGCCACTCTCGTTCGTCGACATATTGCCGGATCATTATAAGCACCGTCCAATATCCATCTATGATCCTCGCAAGGCACCTGTTCTAAATCAATACCGTCTAATCGTTCCCCGGAACCGCATTATAATCGAAGTCGGTCAGTTTGCTGTCCTCTTAGCGCTCTACATCCTTACGATGTCTTTCCACAACCTGTCGGGATTGACTGTCCATGAGGTAATATTCTGTGTCTACACCACTGGATGGATCTTGGAGGAGTTTGCAGCCATTATTGAGCATGGATGGCAGGTCCACACGCAGAACCTCTGGTCGTTTCTGGACATTACCTTTATAGTCATCTACGCGGCGTATTTCACTGTACGGATGTACACCTTGATCAGTGGTAGGCTCGATCCAGGACTCGGCCTCAACATCCTCGCAATTGCCGCCCCTGTCCTTCTTCCACGCCTCGCTTTCAACTTGATGCCCGACAACATGCTGTTTATTAGTCTCCGCGCCATGATGAGAGACTTTATTGTCTTGACATTACTGGCCGTTTGGTGTTTTGCGGGATTCTTCGTCTCCCTGAAGTGGCTCACCTATCTCAACGAACCGGCCAAACATCACGACATCCTCGATTCTGCCACAGTCTCAAAATGGATGCTTTGGATTTGGTTTGGACTTGACGGCACTGGGATCGAGCGATCTGTCGACTTCCACCAAGTCCTCGGACCGTCTCTCATGATTGTGTTCGCCTTTCTGGGGAACACTCTTTTTCTGACGGTTCTGGTGGCGATGCTGACCAACACATTTTCAAAGATTGTTGCAAATGAGAGCGCAGAAATTCAATTCCGGCGCGCAGTTCTCACGTTCGAGGGTGTGAAAAGCGATGCCATTTTCGCCTATCCCCCGCCTTTCAATGTTCTAGCTCTCATCGTCCTTCTTCCCACGAAGTTCATCCTGTCACCGCGACACTTTCACAAAGTCAACGTATTCGCAATCCGCCTACTAAACGCTCCCATTCTGTTACTCATAGCTGCATGTGAGCGACCGCGGCTCTGGCGGGCACTGAACGGCAACCCTCCAGGTTCGCCGAAACGAGGCAAACTTGCAGAATGGGTCTTCTCGGGATTCTCGCCCCACGGAGATATTCAGGCGGTTTTTGACATAAAGAATTCGCATGAGGTTGCCGACAAATACGACGACTCTGACATTTTCGATTCGGATATCGGAGAGGATGAACCTTCCTCTCGACAATTAAGAGGTCTGAAGACTCAAAAAGGCTTGCAGAGAAGAAGACGTTCAAAGTCTGTCTAAGGATCGCGTCGCATTGAGCCGCACTAGTCCTGAAAGATATGTCGACTGTGGGCAGACCATAGGGGGTTGTCAACCTGGGAAATGTCGACAAAGGGATAAATCTCATGCTAGCTTCACAAAAAGCAGTTGCCAAGTCATCATTTGGCAATGGCAGTAGCATGAAGCAGCTGCTGACCATTGGACTGACCTAGCAAGCCCTCGCTGCAATGTTCTGGCTTCGACAATAAGAAACTTGTCAAGAGAAATCCTAATGCTTGATACTCAGGCTTTGTTCGAAGATGGTTGACAACTGAATTCTTTAGCCCTAGGCTGCGGGCTAAACTATTCTGGGCCTTAAATATGTGTGGAGATCTCCGTATCACGCTAGTACATTTTGGTACTATGTAGCCTGGCCGCCTCTTGATACGGATCTACTGCCTCGTACTCCGTTCTCGTATCAATCCCTTCCTCTGGCATTGAACACATTGAAATGCCATATTCAATTTGTGTGGTCGAAGAAAGCTGCTTGTGGTAGCACCAGACTTCGTTCCTTCTTTCTCAACGGCTGGTTGGATAAGCGATCCTTCTTGCGGGTCTTCTGCTTGGTAGTCCTTCCCTAGACAAAGCCATTAAATGTGGACCTCACCAGTGAGCAAGGCGACCCGAGTTCAATCACAGCAAGCACAATCCTGCTCACTCTGCCCTGTTAGGTCTACTATGTACCAAACCACACATGGAGCAAGCCTTGGTCATCTTTTGCGGCCTCTTCAAATCCAGAATGAATTAGGAGATGTCTGCCGGGGGGCTGTGCTGTGGAGGGTCGTCGTTCTTGAACCAATCACACACAACATGCCGGTAAGACGGAACGACAAGACAACAAAGTTTTGCTGCTATCCCACGCCTTCTCTCGTCTAAAAATTTCTCTTCCCTGCGCGAAGCGAAGGTGGCGTCTCACCCTGGCTCATTCGGTCCCGTTCTGACCGTCCTTTCCGCAGTGTCAACCCAATCCTCATACCTGCATGGAGCTACTCTGCCGGATGTTTACGACTTCTCATGTAAGATTTGAGAGTCAATATCTTTGACTAATTTCAAAACTCCCAAATCAGCAGGTATAGCGCTCGAAGCTTTGCCGAAGCTTGGTTCGGCACGTGGAACTCGTGCTCCAGACAGCTCGACACTGTCAACCTGGACATCCTTTCAAGCGAATCACCTGTCGTCTATGTCAGCGTCAGCAGTTGAAGGGAAGGCAAGCAGCTCCTGGCATTGAACCTGGAGCATCTGAGGGATGGTCTTCCTTTGTTGGGCAATAACGACTCTGAGACAGACTCAGACAGTCAGTTTCCTCGAATTCTGTCTCGATTCATTACCTCCCTATCAGTGCCCCAGTCCCTGCTAGGGAACATATGGTAGTAGATTCTTCTACATGAACTGAACTACCCATGTGGCAGGGTCACCCATATGATCTGTGAGCATCAGGATCCGTACGGGGTCGCTCCACTGCTGATGATCCCATTCGCAGATGAAATTAAGTTGGAATTTAGCCCTGCTGGCTTGCTTGTCATCGGCGCAGATCCTGGATGGTTCTCTTACCGCAACGCCAGCAAATGCAGAAATTTGAACCACGAATCTTCTATACATATAAGCGGTAGCCATTGAAATGACGGTCCATTGCCTCTGGAGCGACGTACCGCGCCTGGCAGACTCGATATAGCGCCGAGACTGCTTAGACTCAGCATCGCAAATGACCGCTCCTAAAAAGCCTCAAACTAATCCCGATTTGGTATCAGCCATGGCCAGGTACTTCCATATCTATTACATATTCTCAGGGCCTGGTCTCAATTTTCTTCACATAGTCAGCATCTGAGCAAGATACCGAGGAGAATTGGACAAGTTTGGATCGCACCTTCTCGTTTATCACGAGGAAGCACATACGGAGCGAACCGAATAAAGTTTTAATCGTTATTCTCAGACGCTCATTGGAATTGAGCCCAGCGTTGTTGTGGGCGGAATGTCCTTCAAACCTGGTTCTGCACATTGCCCGACAGATCAAACAAAAATTGAAACGCCAAAAGAGGTTATTCGTCCACATGAACCAACAAAGCCGCCCAAACGTCAGCTGAGCCAGCGAGGCTACGATAACTTAGTGATATTCTTGACGACGCTTCTCATATTTGAAGAAACCGGGGTGCCTTATGTTCTTCGAACCGACTCCGTGATTGACGTGGACACTCCAAAACGGCTTCGTCTTCGGCTTCTCCTGTTTGCCTCGGTCAACGAGAGCTTTCTTGTGGCGTTATTGTTCTTCGCCTTTGGTCAACTGGATCAGCGAAAGCCGCCGACAACATTCCCTTCTCCTGCCAAACCAGGCACATGGGCTTCAGCAGGCTTTAGAAGAATTCTACCGGCAATCGCTTCCAAGCTTCTTCTCGAAATGATACAGTTAACGGTACCATCCACGGTCGAGTGTTCACAATTTCAGAAGTCGACCATTAATCCTATCGTATTCTTCCCTATCCTGCTTTTGGGGTTTGATTTTACAGTGACGACTCTCATCGAACGACTTGGGCGTTCCAGGATAGAGGTATACTTCGAGCAGTTCAAAATGGACCGGATAAAACTCGTCCCGGTATATTGGCTACTCCTTACCGAGGTGGATTTCTTGGTTCACTCACTGTTCCCAATCGACGTTCTATCAATATCAGCTTTCCGACTGACAGATGTACCGAAATACTTCTTTGCCTACGTTTGGGGCCGCCTATCCGTTTCAACAGGGGATATATACATCCTTGCCATTACTCCGGTTTTGCAGCTACCAGTTATCTCCATGGCACTCGCAGTACTATTCAGCAACCTGGCCTTGCTGGACTTACTCTCGGCGGCGATCCCTAATCTCGCCAAAAACGACGTTCTTTCCGAAAGCGTCGAAGGTGCTCTCCGAAAGATGGGAGGAGGCTTTACCTTTCATGCCGTCATGTACAGCGTCTGGAGGAATCTGAGTTTCGCGAGCATTGCACCCACGCTCTTGGCCACGTTCGTGGAACGTACGGATCAGGACTTCTGGGTGACTGTTCCCGGCCTCGGAAGAAGATTGCTGAGGAAGTATGCTTACGCCGCGTTCTTGCTTTACATACCTGTCAGCAGGCTTGTTCAAGCCGGCATTGACATGATAAACGCGCGGGTGTTGGGAGGAATTGAAGTGGTGCGTGTGCTTGAATCTCACAGTTCTATCGGCTCGGCGCTGGTGATTGTATTTTTTGGGTCTTTGAACACGATTCTGGCGTGGACGATGGGATGCATGGTGGTCGAATGCATACCGTATGCGAGCCAGATTCTGTGAATGGAGAGTGTACACATATGTCAGGGCGGTTCGTCTCGGACTGGGACCCTCACGACACGGGACATGATTGGGGAAGCTCCAGAAGCTACTTAGCCGCAAAAGAGAACACATGATTTTAGAATGGCCATTTAGAAGCTCCCTTGCGCGGGGGGGGGAGTATTCGTACAGGTACATGGTAACCACGATGCCCAAAGCATCTACGTGCTTGCAATTTTGTGCAGTCTGGTTCTTTGCCAGAGCGGACGCACTCAGCACGAGTATTTGCGTTATTGAGAAAGTAAAAATACATAGAGTTGGTTTTAACAGATCGTTTCCCCGGGATTCTTCGTTTCCTGGCCCTTGGGATTGCTACGTGGGCATACATGGATGATTTCATGTGGCCGCGCATAGTAGGGCACACGTCGAAGTCGCTCTCGGGAATATCATGAAACGCATGCTCGCCACATGCTAAGCACGTTCTCAGCACACAGGACTCGGTACTCTCGGTACGGACCAGTAGTGCTCCATTGGTATTGCCTTTAGGACAGTTAACCAGGCGCTGTAGCGGTCCGACTTCCTTGTTCGACTCGACTCCACTGAGAGAGGCTGAGAGAGGAGACCCTTCGCCTTGTACTTGTTCGTGGACAGACTTGGAACTTGCACAGGGGTGGGCTTATTCTCACCCATGTTGGTATGGAGCAACTAGTAGTACTCTCACTACTTAGCATTCGGACTCGACTCCATACTCCTTCTGCGGGTTTCTTGACAAAACGCCAAGGATACGCTGTATGTGCATACGTTGCACCTACCGAGTTCCTGGAATGTACAATCGATCTAACCGGGGCATAAATCGCCTTGCTTGTCCAAGGGAGTGAGTGGGTACTGTAAGTGTAACGGCCCAGACGTCTCCGGTAAGACGGAACGCTGCCCTTCTCCATCCCTTTTCCCCCTTTGGCGCCCTTCTCGCCCTAACGCGCCCCACGTCGTCGGGGTACGGAGCTGCCATCTAGCTGGCTGTCTAGGTAGGGAATACCTAATCGTATTATGTTGACAATCCGCAAACTAGCAAACTAAGCGTGCGGGTAAGCGAGGATACCAGATGTTACAGTTCGAATGTGAGAACAGTCACAACGGCAATGATTTGCTTCTATGTACATATGGTATTGGATTGGCGGCTTTGAAGAGTAAAGGCATTTGGACAAGGTAGCTGATATCAATCAAGATTCGTTTGTAGAACATTGGACGGGGAGTTCAAGGTGCTGTTAGGCCGGTTCTATAATCCTCCATCTCTACGGCTCTATGTCCGCCCTCTCCTAAATGGGTAGACGGGTATAGAAACATACATTCACACGCGCAATCGAACACCTCTCTCTCTCTCTCTCTCCAGCTCTGCCTCTCTTGCCGACTCTCAAATCAAATCTCTTTGATGAAACCAACTTCCACAAGCTTGTCCACCGGGATGTTCAGCGCCTGGATCTTGGTCCGTGTGTTCTCCCTGACCCACAGAAACGCCTCCAGCACGGCTCTCCTGACAATGTTCGTCCGACCCTTGACGCGAAGCTGTTCCTTGCCCACGATGTAGACGACCTGCTTGGAAAAAGCCTGCTGGAGTTCCGTCAGTCGCTCCGTCAGCTCGGACTGTTCGAGCGATGTGTTCTCCGAGTTCACCGCCTTTTCCCCCAGCACCACGTGCTTCGAGCCGTTC